GTCAGCTCTACTGATATCATTGTGGGAAAATCCTACTATCAGTCCTTTATCACCTTAAGCGAAATAGGGTGAATACATCTCATATTACTGATTTACTGGTAGTCTCGAAACTCTACTTACAGTAACGAAGTTGATTGTTATAGCAAGAATACGTAGTAAAATTTAGTCGCGAATGGTTAGCACTACTTCTGGGTGTAATAAACTGCCAAACAAGTCAAATTGCTTATTGAGAAGACCCGTTGATGTTTCTTTGTCTTCCGACTTTTTGAGGTGATAGAATTTACGGCTACTTCCTTACAGTAACTACATTTAGTAGGGAGTCCTAAGACCTTAGTTGCCTCACACACGCATTTGCTATCCATTCATTTATTTTACTTAGAAATAAAAGGTTGTTTAATTGAAGATATAAAGATCAAGATAGTGTGGCCTCTGGTATGGTCGAAAGAGATGGGGTTGTGGTGAATAACAGATTTGCCACAAAGGGAATGTAAACAAGTGGGAAGTTGTGATAGGGTGGGAGTTTGATAAGAGGGTAAAGAGTAGATAGATAGGCCAGGACAGAAAGAGGTGTGATAGTGTAACCGTTTTCGGCAGAACATTGGTGGAAGTATTGACTTCAATTGTCTCTTTGACGAGTTCGTAGCTTGGTGCGGACGATGGCAGCACTCACTGATGATGCCGGCGAAATGTTTGAGAATGTACCGAGTCCATTGTCTGATGCTGGGAATCATGAAAACTACTAAGGCAGACAACTTCGGACTAGGTGCATTCTACTAATTCGCCCTGACAACAAGACCAAGTTGCGACTACGAGGTTAACCCACTCCTATAAAAGGTTGTTTATTTAAGAGGATACTGTAGACCCATTGAAGCTGATGCCTGTCTCTTAGCCGTTTCCTATTATACGCTCTGACTAAAGTTCTTTTTGACAGAAATTCGCATTATTGCTTTCAGGTTCGTCATCTGGTTAACTTTCCGGCGTTACCCCTCTGCACAAAATCCTTCACTTCTTCATATTGCTTCGCATTTACCCATTGCTTATTGGACATTTTTAACTATTCGGTCACTTTCTCAACACTAATAGTTGGAGTCGGGCCAAATGAATATCAGAGACTCTCGACTATTGAAGTCGAAGGCTGGTGTGATTTCATAGGTGTTTGCGGATCACATGATGCTTAGAAAACTAGGTGTCAAACTCATAGTTTACGTGAGTTCGCTTAGCATATAACGTGATAAATGCCTTCACTCGGCAAATTGTATTAGCATTTGAGCCGTTACAAATCTTATCATATCATATATTTTCATATCCACAATGGGATTGCGAATGCGGCCGTAAGCATCATTAAAAAATTTCTATAATGTAATAATGTATAGTTTAGGGAAAAATAACAATCAAACTGGCGAATTTAAACTAAATGAAAATAAATATCTGTCATGCAAATCGTTTGCTATGGCTAAGCTTTAAGTTTTCGCTTGACCTTTGGGGCACATATTAAATCCAGCGGTGATAATTCTGCATTACAACTTGAGTAATAAGGAATTTTTAAAGTGAGGCTGTGTACATTTTATTTCCACTCTGACGCCTTATTCCCAATACACTGAGGAACTTTATAATATAAAGCTCTGAAAGACCATACTAACTAAGATAACAGTTATTTGTAGGTAGTATACCAAACCAAAGAAATTAATAAAAGTAAAAAGTTATTTTTAGATTTAATATGGACTTTGAGAAACTGGCTTTCTTATAGATGCGGTCTGACCTCGTTTTCGTAACTTATTTATGTTGTCAGAGAGACTTGATTTGACTTGTCGCTTTGACGATTTGTAGCCTCGTGCTAAGAATGGCAAGATTCATTTACGATGTCGACTACGATGCCGGCGAAAATTCTAAGAATGTACCAAGTCCATGGTCCGACGCTTTTAAATATGATAACTACTATAGGAGAGGACTTTGGACAAGGTGAGTCCAGCTATGTCCAGCTAAGTAACACTAACAACAAGACGAAGTTGCGAAAACGAGGTCAGACCACATTTAAACATCTGCACTGTTATCGTTCGAGTCTCGCTTGTGGGGCTGATAACACCTAGGCGAGGTCAAAACTGCAGTCCACCCTGGATGAGAACAGATTTTGGTAGGGCAAGGCTAGATGAAATTCAGTGAAAAGGTCAGCGTTTCTCATATCAATGCTGGAAAATTCAACTACCAATCCATAATCACTTTAAAGGGAATAGGGTGAAAACAGCTTAAAACTGCTTGCCAAATAATGAAAATAAATTATTAAACGACAACTGAATCCAAATCATTTTGGATCCCAAATTAATTTTGAGAATCTAAAAGCAAAAGCTTTGAGAAAGTAAAATCCTTTTTCTAAAATAACTTAATTAAAATTATTTGCGAATGTTTGGATCTTCTAACGCTATTATTTGTTCTATTAAAGAAAAGCTGTGGTTTATATGTGAAGATTATTACTGATATCCTTAATTGGCCAGAGAGACGAGTCTTTAGCTTCTGGAAGCTCATACAGGTCTTTATTTTTTATTTTAAATCTGGGAACTTGAATGTCTCAATTCCTGACGGGCCAATTGCTTCAGAATTATGGATATCCCACTTTTTCATCCCTGATCCAATCAGATGTGTTTCTGTACTATAATTTACTCTTTATTACTACACAAATCTTTGAGAGTGATCATTTATAAGAAATCTGGCAATAAAGGTTGTTGAGCTTACTCCAATTTCGAGTGGAAGTGTTC